GCTACCAAAACCTCCATCCCTGCACAGCTAGAGCATCCCCCACAAGCAGCTGCTCTTTACCCCAGCAGATTTCCCTCCATCCCACAGTGCTCACCTCGCTGAAATGCTACAGCCAGAAGGACATAGGCAGGTGGGTTTCCTGGCTGCTGCCAAATCACACCTTGGAAAGAAGCTCCACTTTTGTACAGAAAACCAAGCAAACCAAAGGTCCATCACAAGGAGGTTGGAAAAAAAAAATCTGCAAAAAACATCAGGTGAGGAAAGACAGGCTTACCTACTCTGTGACTAAAGGGGTTGTATTTTCATCTGGGTGAGAGGTGGGAAGAAGGGAACTGTTTCTGTTAACTGGAATTGATTTGCTGAAAATGCAAAGTAGCTAATAAATCCCAACTCAATGCACCCCTGGTAACAGGGAGAGTGTTTGGATGCCTGTGAGCAGGTCAAGGCAGTCCCTGAGAGAGTGTCTGCATGTTCCCAACTGTTCCAGATCCCCTTATCAAAGATGAAAGGCATGCTTCAGCTAAACAGAAGAGGACATACATCAGCACTGATGACTAACCCTTTTAAAGCTAACAAAACACTAGCTAACACAACACATTGGATCTTACCTTATGACATGAGTATTTTCAGGGTTTTTGCAAAGTTAACCAGAAACAGATAGATACGGGCCTATACCAAACGGGGTTGCAAACAGCAATGAAGCCATGTAAAAAAAGGGGTTAAAGCTCTGCTATTCAGGTAGAGCAAGACAAAAGCAGATCCTCTTCAGGATTATCAGGCCATGGGATACAGCTCCTGGACCACATTCAATGGCAATATGTAAGCAAATGCCATCAGAATCTTTCTACCTCTCTTCCTCCTCATGTCCTCAAGAGTTGATGCTTCCCCCATCTAACTGTATGGGCTGGGGAGATGGGTTGAGGAGGAGTTTACAGAGGAATGAGCTGAAAGAGTAAAGATGGAGGTGAAAGAAAGTAAGGGCTAAGTTGGCATGGAAATGAAAGCTGGACCACTATCCTATGTGCCCAGTGACACTTCCACCAACCCACTGACCTGCCCTTGCCCAGTCGCTTCCCAAACCCTGAGCGAAGCCACTCCAGACAGCTATTCAACCTTGAAGAAAATCTGCATTGCCTGAGTCCCTTTACGGTGATTCCCAGTCTTTAAAATACTCTTCCCAGTATTTGTAAGACAGGATGTTTCTGGTTTTTGAATGAAAGCCTGTTGTCTGTAAGATAAAAAGTCTGACCTGCATCTTTCTTTTGATCAGTACCTCTTCATACTGGGAGGGATGCTGAGAAGCAGGATCACATTTCGAGTCTGTGTAAATACTCTACCAGCAGCTCCCTAAACCTGTCTGCTTTCTATCAGCGCTCTTTAGCTAAAGAGTAACCGTCTGCCTGATAGAACTACGGTCCCTCAGTGCTGTATAAAAAGCCAGCTCACTTGAGTTTACCTTGCGGCAAGTCTTCCCTAGTTCGGTTAGTCCTGGGAGACAGCATCCCCGTAAATAGTTTAAGCCCTCCTCAAGCCAATTAACAACATGAATGAGATGACAAGTTTTCCCAGCCAGTCTTGCAAAGCAGCATGACATCTTGTTCACCAGCACAGTGCATGCAGTGGCTCCAAGAGAAGGTGCCAGGAGACCTGAGGAGGCTCTGCTGTGACTCCTGTTGCATCCTTTGGCAAATCCCCCATGATGCAGCTTTCCAGCCCAAGGATGGGACTAAATATTTTTGCTCCTTCACAAACCTGTTGTTCAGGTGAAATGTGATGAGGCATGTTGAAATCTCATGGAAGGAGCTGCAGATCTGTAAAATCTTAGTTTGCATTCATGATTCAGGCTTATATAAATATGTAATTGCAATTAAGTAACACAGTCAACCACAAACTTTAACTGAATCAGAGCACAGGCTATGACCCACAAATTCTGCTCAGTGATTACAAAATATCTAACGAACTTCACCTAATGCACAACATCAAGTAATTTACTAAATGTCTGATGAGAGTAGGATTAGGAGGGGTCCTGGCAAAAATTCCAGTGGACTTGCCTCCTTCACAGCTCCCCATCGCTTCAAAGATAAAGATTATGGTTTCTAGGGTAACTAGACACACATACACAAAAAAAGGACACATTGTCTAATTTGGTTTCCTTAGACTGTCAGAGCATTGCCAGGCTAGGAGCATAGCCTAAACATGATTATGAAAGAGATTTGTAATTTATTTAACCACTCATTTTAATTCACAGTCATGCCTTACATCTATTTTTAGTTTTAAGGGTAATTATCATAGTTAAATGTACAGTTTCAAACAAATAGTGACACTAAAATTCACAGACCATTATTAAAGACACACAGTGGACAGATGGTCCTGTTGTGTATGTGCATATGTTATCACTGAGAGAGTTTGTACTTTGTTTCATGCCACACCCACACATAAATGTAAAGGTTTGAATAAACACATAAGTTTCCTATGATATTTATGTTTCTGTGTGGTTTATGTGCATACACATACACAGATGATAGACCAGGTTACCGTTCCAGATCACAGTCTTTCACATTGTGAAAGGGAGTAAATTTTGAATGTCTTACAGAGGTGTAAGGGCCAAAAGTGATGATATGCCAGTAAGGGTGAGGACTAGTGATCCTTTAAAACAAAAGAGACTTAACTTTGTCTCATTATTTGCTAGCCAGGGGTATGGGCACACGTACGCATTCCCACGAGGACACTTGCGCTGTCTCTTTGCAACAGAGCCCCGCTCCATTTCCTTTTTTTGATACCAGAAGACCATGCTGCTGCTGCCAAGCCTGCAGGGAGCTGCCACCTCCTACCTCCAGGCACACCAACAATTCTTCATCTATGTGTGAGCATTCCTGCCCTCTTCCCTCCACACTTCCAAGGCTTTTGTGTCACAGAATCTGAAGAAGTAGCATGTCTCCATCTCTTTGGGACCCATCTTTTCCACTTATCAAGGTCCAGGTGTTTCAGAGACAGCATTCCTTCCTCCACCTTCAACAGCATTTAGGTTACTAACACTGGGTCAGACAACTTCCACCCAGTTATTCAGGACTTAAATATGATGTTACTCAGATGTCCTGGCTGGGATGATGGCATTAAACTGTGCTCAGGAATGTTCCCAGGCACTGGAAGACAGTCATCAGTACTGATAAATTGTTTGAGCAGCCCCAGATCAGTTTTGGTCCATGCAAACTTGCACTGCTCTGGAGCATTCCCAGGTAGGGGTCAGGAGCCAGAGCACTCCAGCTTGCGTGCAGCCACCCTGTCTTTCCTGGTCAAGGGGCTGCTGAAAGTGCTCATGGCTGTTTGGTGCCAGCTGGCCTCAGTGCCAGAGACTGCTCCTGAGCATGTTCAATTTATTTGTATAGACACAGCCTTTGAGATTTTCCCAAGTCAGGGCTGATCACCCAGGTATGCTTGATGGAACAATAATCAATGCTAATAAGCTGATTCCTTTCTAATCATTCAAGGCATTTAGTATTCATACTTACAGTGAAAAAAGCCAATGCCTCGCAGGTGTCTATTTTACACATTAACAGCTGTTTTAAATCTAAATGTAATCATCTATTTTAAACTCTCATTATAAAAATCAGACCTCCCGTATGAGACGTCTTCCACATTCAGAGCCAAATAAAGGAGTTTGAATCCCGGACCAAACAAAAGTCCTCCAGTAAGTAATATGATTCCCTAAAATGACACCAGTGGGTCACTCTACAGCAGTCTGTTCATTCCCAGCACTGCTGTAAGCATCCCAGGTCCTGGGGAAATCCAAATTAAATAAAAAACCAAAACCAAAAACAAAAACCAAACAACCCAGGTTACTGTCCAGCAAAGAGCTTTCAGTAAGCACTGTAACTAATTTAACCTTATCCTGTTCTGTGGGAAGACCGATTTCTTCCAGTATCCTTCATATTTCAGGATTCTTTAAGGTAAGTGTCCCACTCCTCCAACCAAAGCTGTTATCACACCAAACACGTTAACTGAGCAGTGTCAAGGCCTGAAAGAAGTCACTTAATACTTAGAGCCCTGACTCAGGCAAAATAAAACACTCTCAAACCTGTGACTTTCAGGGGAAAGCTGCAGGAATTTTGATAGAGGTAGATCAGAAGATTTCAGAAAATTTAATTCTTGCAAAAAGCAATACTTCCTGGTGCTGCCTTGCCTTTCTCTCTCTCTGTTAAACAAGCACTACAATTTCATTTCCAGGGCCAGGAAACCAGGTGCTCGGTTACACAAGTCATGCTGTATAGATTAGAGATGGCAAATAAAGCATCAGCATCCTCACTGAACTGTGCTGTGAACTGTGGACACCTCCTTCTCTTTTAGTTGCTCCTTCATAGCAGTATAGGCAAAGGGATGAGATGGTACGTGGTGAAACAAACCAAGGAATTACTAAAGGCCCTGTTCCTTTTCTCCAAAGCAACAGATGCACAGTTGAGGAAAATCCTCTTCTAGGCAGACAGCGGGTCAATACTTAGCAGACCTGAGCAACTGAACCTTCATGGTGTGTGTGCAAGAATACCCCTGCAGGACATTATTTTAGATCTGGACAGTGGTCAGCAACACCTTAAGGCCAGAGAAGTGCTAAGCCAACATAGAAAATCAATAGCATCTAAAAAAACCCAAACAACAAACCACCACCCTGTGTACACAGAAAAATGTAAGTAAGCTTAAAAGATCAAAGATTTGGCCTTGTGTGTGCATTCTATAGAACTGGTATGTTTTACACATAACCAGCATTTTTTGCCTTAAGAATTATTAGGAAGAGTGTGAGGTGGCCTAATACCATAATACCTAATATCAGGCACTAGCTCAACTAGCTAAACTATACTGCCAGCACCAACAAACTTGCATTTCCTGTTCTTAATGTTTTGAGTTTTAACTGTTGAACTTTGAGATAGAGATCACAGTAACAGCAGCAGAACAGAACAAAGGGAAAGGAAGTGCAACTGAAGCAGAAGCTTAAAACCAAAGCCATAAACTGCATGTTGTCAATGTGCTTTTATTAAGAGAACATGTAAAGGACATTATAAGGGATTCAAAGCATTTAGGGGCTGGGAGGAAGGGTAGAAAGACACAACACTTGAAATAAATGTTCCATGGAGAAAAAAATCTCTAATAATTTATTGACCTTCAGTTTCACATTGTGGAAAAAAAAAAAAAAAAGGCAAGTTTTACAAAACTTTAAGATGTTTAAGATGTAGTAGCAAACAAAAAGACACAACATAGACAATTTTACTTCTTCACTTGCACAGTATTCTTTTAGCCCATGAACCACATCTTCAATAGCCAGGAAAGGGAACATTATTCTGCTCTAATCACTCTTATTCAGACAGGTGTCAGACCTAGAGAAAAGGGGCTGCACAATTATACCAGAAGAGGAAGGCTGTCCTTTGTTATATGTTTCTACAGCAACCAGCCTGCAAAATAAGAGGAACCTTCCTGTCTTATGTCAAGGTTTTTGTGTGCACTCTGCTGTGAACTGCATTTGCTTCCAAGTGTGGGGTGTTTTGCAGGACTGGAATCCTCAAGTAGCTAGCCAGGATTCCCACATCAATTCAAAGAGCAAGAGCCTAGCATATACCCTGCAGAGCCAGAGGCCCACCCTGACTTCAGCTTCCTTCAGCCTACACACAGGAATTAATCGACGACTTGAAAGCAGACCACAACTTTGGAAACAGCTGCAGAAAATTCATCCCACTTTTGGTAGCTGCATAGTGCTGCAAAACAGACTTCGTAAGCTAAATAGTTAGCTGCAGTGCAGTTTCACATCTGGACTAATCCGCTCGACAGAGAAAACAGGTCTCAAACCTATATGCCTCTATTCAAACAAGAGGGCCCCCGGGGACCCAGTTCTTCACTTCCTTGTACCTCGTGCAGGCACTAGCGCCTGGGGAGAGGACATGCAAAGCTCAGGAAGTCTGATTTTATGGCTCCTTTCCCACTCCTGGGAGTGATCCACAAGATGAAAGACAACAGTAATTCAAGGCTGCTTGCTTCAACAGGGCAACCTGTGCAAGTACAGGGACACAGAGAAGAGATCTACCCTATCTAAGATGTTCTATCGCTTAAAAGCCACCTAAGAGAAAAGAACAAGTTGAGGGTGGGGGGCACGGGGAGGGGAGGAAGGGAAGGTTGTGGGTTTAAACACTTTCTTAATCTAACATTTCAAGAAATCAGTTTAACCAGAAGAACTATTAAACTGTTCTCATCTAGCTGACCTCACCCTTTAAAAAACTGTTAATGACTTTGCTAATTAATCAATGTTCTCTCCGTATTCACAGAACTCCAAATACTAATTTCTGAAATGTAAGGGTCTACTCCAAACAGCAAGTCAAATGTAAGGCAGCACAGAGAAACTTCCAGTGACCAGTGTAAACACTTTCAGGTGACAAAGCTTTCACAAATACAGCTACATCACTGTCACACAAAGAAAGGCAAGCATCACCAATGTGACTATTTTTGTTTTGCATGCATGCATGCAGCTGTTTACTTATACCGCAGCACACACCAACCATGTTACTGAATGTACCAGTTAAGTTGGGCTCCAGAAACATTTAGGAAAAAACACAATACAATACATGCTTCGTGACAGGATCTGGCAAAGAAAGCACCTGTGAAACATAAGCTTCTGAAATCCAGAAGAAAAACAGTAGCTTCATCTGTCTCAAGACCAGACTGATAAGAAACAAATTTATTTAAAAATCAGTTTGGTTTCTCAGGATTGTATCTGAGCAACCAAGTGTTCAAAGACACACCTGGCTAAGGAAAATAAAAGGCAGCAGAGTTTGAGGGCTATTTATAAGATTAAGAGGTTTGAAATACATTTTTTTATCCCCATAAGAATTTTGCCAGAGCACTTGGGTCTTTGACACCTGGCCACTCAGATGATCATCTGAAATCCAGATGGATGAGGCAATCCCGTCAGTGCAAAATTGCTGTTGTTTTTTTTTTTTTTTTTTTTTTTTAAGACTTCATCACTAACCTATCTTGAGGTTTTCAGTTTTTATTCTTGAATCACCATACTCCACTCACTCGGGTCAATGTGGCTATATTGTAGGTACCCCTCCTCCAACCCAATAAATAAATAAATAACTTTGGACAATGACTTCATCTGGGCTTGGCATCCAGAAGCTCTTCCACAGTATTTGCAATCAGGAAGCTGCACAAAGAGAGATCTGCAAGAGATGTTGTCTATTTCCAGATTAGAAATTGAAAGGCATGACCAACAAATGAAATGTAAGCAAGGACACCATCTACAAGACACACCACATGCAACCTGGGGAGCTGGTGGCCTGAGAAAGGTGACCTCCATGGCTTCTTCCTTTAGTACGTATGTAATTTAAGATCCTGCCTTGTAATCCTTTCTTTTCTGACTGGGAAGCCACCCCTCCCTCCCACTTCCAACTGTTATCCAACAGTTTTCTTTCTTTGTGCAGCAGAGCAAGTCAGCGATCACAAAATGTGCAAAACATACAATTCACACAAGCCCTTGCAACATGAAGACCATTGCAGGCATCGTTTCAGCATGCAAGCACTGAACAATAAATAACTGTATCTACAACAAGTAACATAACAGGAAGGGGACAGTTTGGATTACTTATAAATACAGGGAGGAAAAGTAACAAGGAGCGTTTGAGGAATGTAATTTTTTTTCCCCACTGTTGCAAAAACATTTCACCACTGGTCTGTTCCTTATCAAGCAGAAGGTTCTCACTGCACACAGGACAATGCAATGTGGGATCTAAGAGATGCTGTAGGCACTGCCCACAGACAAGCACGCTCCGGTTAGCAGAGTTCAGGAGCAATACCCCTGTATCTTCATTCACAATGGCATCTCGCTGTTTCGGGCCTGGCCTGCTTCCCCTGCAGCTGGCACTGGCACTTCAAAGCACCACAGAGAGAGGTGACAACCATTTCAAATTTCACATACAAACAGCAGAGTCCATGGAAATTGAGCACTGTGTGCTGCACAGCTCAGATAAGTTCTATCTCGTCTTCTTCTCCTTTGAAGGATTGATTAATATTGGCATTAATCCACAATTACTAGCACAAGGACCAGCTCATGGTTTCGTCCATTCATATTTAGACCACGTGCTGAAGCACTGAAGACAGGTTTTTGTTTTGTTTTGTTTTTTTCCCTCCCATTCCTTCATGTCTAGGTTAGATAATTTACAAGGTGCAGATGATTTTCTTCAAATGCAAGAGATGCTGAATGATTTTTCTTCATTGAAACGCTTTCTCCAGATCTGAGGTTCCAATTCTCTTCTCCAAATAAAGGAGTAAACTGAAAGCATGAGAGAAGGGAAAAAAATAAAAAGAAGTAAGAAAAAACTTACAGGATTTTGCTGAGACAATGTACCATAAGGTTTTTGTTATATGTCAAAGAAAATCTGAAAGCTACACTTAGGATACAATCCAGTTGATGACTTCCCCACCTCCCCACCCCCCCTCAGTGTTCCTATGCGATAGCCAACTACTGATAAATAGGCCAGCCAAGAATGTAATTATTTAGGGTCAGATTCTGATTTTATTAGTTTACTAGCCTTACTCCCCACACCATCCTACTGAACCCAGACAGACCGTTTCGTTTTTTGGCTATAAATTCAGTCATTTGAAACCTAAATCAAACTTGCCCAATACAGTTCAATTTGTTGGGCTCTGTATCCTGCATATTTCAACAGTTCTATGTTCACTCAAAATCTTAAAAGGTTTATGGATTTGTTTTAAGTGAACGTAACATTGTGCAACTTCTCTTCCACAAAAGCTCAAATGAACACTTAGTGCAAGGAGTTTTTTCTATCCCTGGACCAAAGCAAACCTGGTTGGAACAAAGCAGAAGGAGAGGTGAAGGTGTCTCACCCCAATGCCTCTGTTCACCATGAAGAATTCTGAATTTAATTTATTCACAATATAGAAAAGAACATATAATCCTCTTACTTAAAACATATCTACTATCCATTACAGCAGGTCTGCCTCATTTCTTTTCACACAGCAAAGCATCATGCATCAGTAACTCCACCCTAGAGTCCTTTATGAATAATCAATTTTTAATGAGAAATTCAGCCTCTGGATGTCAAGACTGTGCTTTGCTTTTTCACTATAAAGCTGTATTAAAATGCCAGCTTCCAAACCACCATCAGTTCATCACAGGCATTTCTGACAGCACTGCTAGAATTTTAGGAGGCAAACCCTACATCATTACAGTGCAAAGGAGCTCCAGCAAACTCATAGTTCACATAATAGCACATCTCTCTCAAGCTGTGATGTCTAAGAACAGCAGGGAACACTCATAGGAAACACCACAGCCCAGAGCATCAAGCCTCTTTGCAACTGTGGGCCTGAAACACACTATCTTTGTTATGTCTAAAAAGGTCTCTGCACTTAGTGTTGATTATTCTTTCCTAGACATTCTTTAGGGTAGTGTGACATTCTTTCTACTGAAACAGATTATCAACACTGAGGCCAAAACAAGGTTCCCTGTCATGGGATGAACTTTAGAAAAAAATATAAACAATTCCAAAAGAGATGGGGGAAAAAAAGTCCCCAACCTACTCAAAAGCCCCAGGTTTGAGGAACAAGACAAATCAGATTGAAGTCTTCCTAAAAGCTTTCAGACCAGGGCCACACAGTGCCATGAAAACAGAGGGTAATCAGAAGTAATTTCCTTTTTGACCCTACCACCCACTGACAAAGCAGCAGGAGACAGTGGGAAAAAAAAAAAAAAAACAACAAAAAAAAAAAACACACAACAACCCAAAAAAGTACTTGCTGGATGAGCACACAGCATTGAAGAGATTTCGGTCTACGGCTGCATTCAGCCAGCTATTTTCTGTGTTAGTTAAGCCAGTTATCTTGTGTGTTAGTTAAGCTAAAATAGTGGCTTTTAACAAAATACCACGGAGCAAAGGAAAGCTTTTTGCACTGTTATATTCTGAGGACTGTTTTTTAAGATAAAACACTCCCCCTTATGCACTGTAAACTTTAGAACAATTAAGTCAGTCTCAGAAGAATAAGTCAATATTTTTCTTGGCACAGACTGGAGTTGGGGCATTCAATACTGCTGCTCTGATAACACTCTGATCACTGCTAAAAGTCAGTAATAATAGCAGTTAACTGAAGATGTCAAGACATTGTTCTCAGCTAGGGAGGAAGCCACTGCACAGAAATCAGCTTCCATTTGCTGGCTGACAGAGGTGCAATTACTCCCATCACCCAGAATCTAGTAAATCTCAAGGGTTTGCCCTGCTTTCCCAAAAGCAAGTCGAGGAAAGCAAGGAGAGGAGAGAGGGCAGTGCCTTCAAGACAAACAACCACCTGAGACAAGAGCAGCTGGTGGCACAACACAGCCCAAAATCACACTAAATTTCCACGCTGACCTGCTGCTTTGCATGGGCCCAGCCCTGCATTCTTTACTCAATCAAAGCTCCCAGTCAGCTGAAAGACATCTACAACATCAATCCTCAGTGTAACACAGAGAAAGGAATTTCACGACTGCCCTACATTTCTAGGTCATACTTCTATCTACACTGCTTCAAAGACATTTGGGTTTCATGTTTACTGCAAGAGTCAGGCAAATGTCTCCAGCTGCAAAAGACACCAGAAAAAAACTATGATCTGTCCCAAACTGAAGAACCTAGGGAAGTCTTTATACACAAGCTGTTCTTCCTATTTTCTGGAAAACCTCCAGCAGCAGTCTGGACTTCCAGGTAACTTGGATGCTAATGTAGAGCTTGTTGAATTACTGCAACTGTATTTAACTCCCTTGTTCCTTCTAGCCTGTCTGCCTTCATGGTTACGCTATACACTGTTCAAATCAAAAAAGAAACTACCACTCACAGGGCATGGATTATTTAGGATTAAGCATACCACTGTATTTGTTTGGTTGGCTGGTGGCAACTGTGATTCTGTATTAAAGTCTCAAGGTGGTGGGGGGGCAGGGGGAAAATTACAACACAACACTAAGGGGAGTCTGCCAGATTTGTTGCAAAATACACAGATTAATAGCTCTGTAAAATGTCAGTGACTTATTTTAAATGATCTAACTCCAGAAAAGATAAAAATAAGGAAAAATCAGTAACAGTTGAAGTAACAGTTAGTACTTAGGATGAAAAAAACAGATGTGAAAAATATTGGCAAAGTGTGTAGTTACTCAGATTTTTTTAGCAGTTTTGTTCATGAACATTTTCTCCCCTCCTTCTAAAAATCAGCAATTCACAACAAGCAAACAAGCAAGGCCAAATTCAGACTTGCTGGTGAGAAGATACAATGCTGAAGTTGCATCTGGTAAGAGCTTGGCCCATTATGTATAATTAAATTGTTTTGGAACAGTGCGTGCTATAGACTGGTAATTATTTCAGCCAGCAATATTAATTATATGTCTTCCTGACACTATATCTAGTCCAACATATATGACCATAACTATTTTGAAAAAAAATCTGTATTTTAAGGTATATCAGTGAAGTAAATCCAACATTGGTCTATGCAGGTGCCACTATGCTGTCTAGGTGAGACAGAAAATTAGGCCTGAAAATGCCTGTAAAACACCTTTCATAAGACAGCAAATTTCCTTAAAGGCTATCTGCATGGAGAAAGTATGCTGTCTACGTGGAAATGCAAGTGAATTCACTATCAGGCTTCAGATCAGAATTTACAGTATCTTTTTTGGGCACTGTTACTGGATATACAGTGACCTAGACCTGTCGCCAAGAAAATGGCACCAAACCTGTGTCTGGCATATGTTTAGTTTTTAAATATAGAGCAGGATTCAATTTCCAAAATATTATCTGCATTTCCCTGCAAGTTGAAAATTTTATTTTTGCTCAGTCCTTTACATCTAAACCATGCAGGAAAAGGCCTCATAAAGAGAAGTTGGGTGCAAGATATGTGGCAAACTGCTTTCAACATCTGCCTTTGTCACAGACGTGGTGCCTGGCTTACAACAGCCCATGAACATATGTGTCTCAGTTGCTCCAGCTATAAAATTGGATTGAATATACTCACGCTCCTCAGAGATGCTGCTGAGAAGCTTTGTGAAAAGCATTATTACAGTGGAATTCAAAGGCGCTGTTTCTTACCTGATAATTTGTAATTGCAACATACACACAATTATGAGGGGAGGTGCTTCCATGTGCTGACAAATGCCGTGGGAATTAACGAATAGGGCACAGTTGTTATGCTGTTCCATACATCTAATGTGGGATCGTAGCAGTCCAACGTTTTGCACCTCTGAATGCCAAAGTAGCCTCCAACCACATACAATTTGTTTCCAGATGCCACTGCATGGCAGCTCATTCTCTTCGCTGTCACATCTCCCACCTTAGTCCACTGGTATGCCTCACTGTTGAATTTATAAGCAGAGCATGCAGAGAATTCGGTATCTCCACCCATAATAAAAATCTGGTTACCCAGAACAGCTGCAGCTGTGTAGCGCCAGGGCTGGGGGCAGGTGGCTGGTACAGTCCATCTGTTTTCACACTGATCATAGCACTGAACTTTGGGCAGCTTGTCATGGCTAACGCTGGTACCGCCAAAAGCAAACAGCTTAAGCTTCGCACTGACTACAGCTGCATTGCTTACACCCTCTCGCAACGGGGCAACCATGGTCCATTTGTTGGTCACGGGGTCGTATTGTTCTACTTGCTTTAAGGATACTGAAGGGGAAGCTGGGAGGCAACCAGTTGCTGCTGTGTGTCCTCCTACCACATACAAACAGTGCTTAAGTTCAGCAGAGCCATGCCCAAACCTAGCTACCAGCATGGGAGCAGCCTTCGACCACTCCTCATGAAGGGTGTCATACACCCACACATCTTTGGAGACTCCGTTTTCTGATCCCCGTCCCCCAGTGATATATACTTTGCAGCCTATGGCACAAGCACTGAACTCTTTCCGGGGACTTGGTATGTCAGCCTTTGGAATGATCTCCTTTGCCTTCTGGTCCACCAGGTACAGCTTGTCACACATAAAGGTTTGGCCACCCAAAAGAAAAAGCGAATGGCCAGTTTTACGGGGTCTGGCACACAAACTAGTGACCACTCCATCATTCTGCAAGATCTTTAACTTGCATCTTATTGATTCTTCTACAATCTCTTTGCTTTTCCTTTGCTTGGTGATAAGTTCTTCCATGGCCACATTCTCCATAAGGTATATGGCTGGCAAGAGGGCCAGTCTCACCGTCTGCAACAGCTCAGGCAGGTAACAGTGACGCTTACTCAGGTCATAGTTGACCCAGTTGATAGCTGATTCGTATACCAGCCTTTCGTCTTCGGTTTCTAATTCTTCACTGGAAAGGAGCTGCACTACCATGTCTTTTGGCAGCTGGAGAAAGTCTTCACTTTTACTGATACTCTGGAAATTGCTAAGGCACATCCTCCAGGAGAGCTCATACAGCTTGGTACACTGGTGAGCATCTGACAGCAGCAGCATGCCAAGACAGTTGGTGGGATGAAGGTTTTTCTCCAGAAATTCTGCACAAGCATCCCGAATATCCTGAAACTCGAGCATGTCACCAGCCTCCAGCAGCGACTCCGCATTCTCCTCATTGATGATGACCCTGGAGGAATATGCATAGTCCAGAAGAAGCTCCAAGACTTCAGGGTGAATTGAATTATGGAAGTTGACTTCACTGTCCTGGCTCTCTTTCAGTCCTCCACTGAACATTGCTTCGAAATAGCGGCTACAAGCAGCTAGAACAGCTCTGTGGCAGGGGAATGACCTGTTCCCAGCATGAAGAAGTACATCTGTGAAGAGACGCTGCTGACGCAGAAGGTTCAGGTGAGTAAGGACACTATCAGCATAGGAGGACTTGTGGAACAAGTATATGTTTATGGAGCCAGTACTGGCCCTAGATTTGCGATTTTCATGCATGCTGACTGACATTTTCTTTCACACCTATAAACAAAGAAAAAAAATTAATAAGATTAATGAGATGGTTATTTTTGCATATCAAAAAGTGTATCTATTATGGACATTAAGATGGGGGAGAAAAGCCTTAATTTATAGATGAGTGGACAGAGAATTGCATCTACCTTTGGCATGTGTTTATTTTTTTGTAAGATGAGTTTCATAAATGACATACTCTAAATTTGTTGCCCAAGAGCAGGTTTATCTTGGGAAACCAGATCTCCAACTTTCATAGCAATACAGTAAGCAAGTAAGTTGGAGGAGAAAGAAAAGGAACCAGGACTGATTTTCTCACCCTTCCCCAACCTAGACCAGTTGATTCATTACATATGTACACATGCACATGCTTGAAACATTCTCCTGTACTGAATCATAGCAGGAAGAGCTACCAGACAGAATACCTAAGGAATGCCAAAAGGTGCATGGGGAACAAAACCTACTGATCCCATTAGGAAGCTTTGGTATAACGATTCCATATGCAACAGCAGAGAATGAAAAAAGGGAACTTTAAAATAAAAAACTAGCAACAATCATAAATTTAGACTTGGGAAACCATATAAAAAAAAAATATGACTCATACATTTTAGAGATTACATCTCAAACTCTGCCAGTGGCCGCCTGCTATAGTGATACAGCATATACATGGGCAGAGTCAGCAGAAAAAAAACGTGTTTTGACTATCAGCTGAAGGCACCGAGGCATCGCCTCTGAAGCTGCCTTGAGAGTCAGGTACTCTGAGCCCAAGCCACTCGTTTGTTTTCTGGTTTGGAGGAGGCATGAAACAGAAGACACATCCCATCCTACCCTATTCCTAACAAACACATGCTGTTCAGTCCCTCTTTGGAGATGAACGTTACTATTACCTGCCATGATATGCAGGTCTATGTATAATTACAGCAGCAAGTTTCCAGATCTAATTAAGAGTCAAGCCAAAATAGTATGGAGTATAAGGAAAGGGAGGAATACTGGCAGTCTTACAAAGCTAATGGTGAAAAAGCCGCCATGCAAGTAATAGGAGATGAAGCATACGGAGCCCAGTGCAAGCTGTGGCTGTGACCACTACTGTAATAATCTCACTTCTCTCTCCAAACTGCAGAGGAAGCTTGGAAAAATATGAGAACCAAACTTCCCTAATTACTATGATATTCACATGCCCAGAGTCCCTTTCACTGCACCTTCAAATAAGGAACAGGGCAAAGGCCTACCTGGGAAGCGCCCATTGCTCAAAGTCAGAGCGTGACCTGGGGCCACTTGTGGAGGTTTTTAATGTGGATATACTTCCCTCTCTCACAGACACAAACATTTCCATATTCCTGAGCATGTTTAAGCAGTACAGAACTGTACAACTCTATTCCCACATCTCATGCTTGAAGATGACACAAGGGCTTTACGAGACTCAAAAAAAAAAAAGTTAATAAATACACTTATTTTTCTAGATTCTTATGACAAAAACCTTCAACAAAATCAAAACCATATATGATTTATTTGGGTAGTAGACTATTTTGGAACAAGTGATCTGTATACATGAAATGTGCAACACCTGCAGAATAACTGCAGCATAGCCAGTACCATCCTCCTTGCTAGCAGTGCTAACATACAGAATAACTGATTTGTCACATCCAACAGCAGGTTTGCGATACACCTTTCCCTTCAGTCACAGCAAAAAAGCCCCTCAAGCCAACATCAATTAAGGAACAAATAAGCACCTTACTGTAAAACTACCATAGCACATTGCCTTTAATCTGAAACTGAAGACTTCCCTGATGAAACGTAACTGGGATTGAAAAGAACAAGCACAAAAGTTCAATATACACTGCTTGATCCAAGATCCTCCAAAACAGAGAGGAATCCTTCCCATCAGAGCCACAAGGCAGAATCTCTGTCTCGCTCCACCATGCAAAAGTTTGGAAAGGTATTTAACCAGTGCTCCCTAGACCAACATATTAAATACACTAGCCACACAACAACTTAAGGAGGCTGGTATGTCTTCACAACACAAATCTTTTTACAAGGAAAATTAAATTACCTTTAATGCAATTGTATTGTCTGGAAAATAAAGACTCACAATGGCATTCAAGTATCAAGCACTAATCTTAGACGAAAATTACTTAATATACTGCCAAACAGATTTTACTGGCCATACAAGGGTTGAAACCTGCTGGAACTGAAGGATGACAGGAAGGGTCATGCTTGAAATACTAGTATACAACTAGTATTGAGTTTGGAGACATGGATGGGAAGGTGAACCCAGGCAAAGCACCTTCTGCAATTTTTTCAAATGTTTCCAGGCACTTTACCATTTTAAGTGCTATTATGATGCAGTGCCGAGCATTCAACGGACCTCTGTGGATTGGCTTTCCTCACGCTGAGGACCTACTTCTGCAAGGTTTCCTCACCAGGCACCAGGATGGGAGCTAAACACCCACTGATCAGAGAATCACAGCTCCTCTCCAGTTTAAACATGTCAAGATCTCTATGAAAACACAGCTCCTCTCCTTTCCCCCCACATGCTGGGGGCATTTGGAGCACACTGAAAACTTTATCATGCACAGAGGGCTCAGAAATAGGGCAGGTAAAGTTCACATCAGACGCTGCAAACACTGGCATTCAAATCTTTCAGCAGGCTCTGCACTCCTGCAAGCACCACTTGCTCAGCATCATTCAGAATGAGCCTATAACCACAACAAAATAGAGGCAAACAAAAAACCCACCCTGCAGTGATGCATACACTGGAGGCTAGTGAGCTACAGACGATATGCAGAGAGGAGCGACAGATCACTGCATGTTACCCAAGCCCACCCACAGACATAGTATCAAACACCGCTGTAAAAAAAATAAGAGCCACTGTCAAACAGCAACTGAGTAATACACTCAGCATTTCACCCCACCAAAACAGAAGATTTGGTCTTTCAATGATCAATGCCATCTCTCAGGAAGCACGTGCAGATTTCACATATGCTGGTCTTTAACTATTCCAGTAACATTCCCCTTATCATCACAACATCATCTATTGAGAAGAATCCAAACTATGTCAATTCACATTTGAGATAAGCTAACATATTTCCCCCAACAGAACAAAGATACATATCTATACACATCTTTTTCCTCCACAGTGGTTGCTGAGATGAGTTCACACACGGACTAGTTGAACCAACACCCTTACAAGCAATTATCATCATTTACTAACAGGCAGTGTTTCTGTAAACATGTCCTTTTGCAGTTTCTGACAGTTAGCTCAGTCCAAAATCCTACAAGAATATTAAAATGTATAAATGACATCTCTGATTTCTCTATTTGGTGTTGGAAATTATGCAAGCCTCAAATACTTCAGCGGAGGTAATTTACAGTCAGTGAGCAAATATTCATCTTGAATAATATGAGTCAACTCCCTCCAGGCATTTTTTCCTTAGAAAAAAATAATATTTGTATGTAAAAGACAAGAAGTGGTCAGTAAATTACAGATATAGATTTTATCTAGGAACAGAGGTTGAACCAAGACTTTGATTTATAATTATACTTCAACAGGCTGCTTGTCACAGCAGCCCAGTAGTGAACACTACTTCAAGACTGAACAACAGACTCCCAGCCCTACTTCTCAACACCTCTGCAGCATGTCTCAGCCTAAAATCAAATGAAAAATTAAGTATTTTCAAATTACTCACGCATCCCTGATGTAGGCTGATTTTCATACGACTCTGTAATTACATGGTGTTGGTTGTGCTTTTGTTTAGAATCAGTGAAACAGCTGAAGGAGAGGAAATCTGCTAAATATCCCATCAATTTAACTAACACCGCTTTCAATTGCTAAATGTGCCGCGATACTATCAGTTCTGCGGAGCCAGACCCACCCTCACCCTACCTAAATCCCTCTAGCACAAACTCAGCGGCTTCCTTAGGACCTGCAGTGAGACGGGAAGCAGAACAGGCTGCTCCTGCGAGGAATGCACTACTGTTCACCGCACGCAGACAAAGAAACCCAACTCTAAATTCCGCCCCCCCCCCCTTCACTCCATCACAACGCCTAAACAACTCTGCCTCTGAAAGGAAACTTGCTGGGTTTCTTCCCAACCCGACAAATAAACAGTGCGTGAAGTTAAAACGCATTTGCTTTCCTTTACAGAGCAATAACCACGTGCAAAAGTTTCTGCACCGGCGCAGGGAGAGCAGCAGCGCAGCCAGCTCCGGGAGCAGCGAGGCGCTGGCTCCTTCCCCTGCCCTGCCTCCCGCCCGCCCAGGGATGCTCCGCGCCTCCCGGGGCGGCAGCCGAAGCCCGCCGAGGCGGCTAGCAGCCTTCCTCGCAGGAGCCGGCACTGCCGGAGGGCACCCGCGTACCGGAGACCACAGCTACCGCGGACGCCCACCCACCGCCCGCAGAAGGGGCGACGGTCGCCGGCGCTCCGGGCGGAGCGGAGGAGGCGGGCCGGGCTGCGGCCGTGCCGGGGAGCCGCGGGGCAGCCCGGCTGCAGCCGGAACGGCCGCGGAGACCCGCGCAGCGCCTGTCCCGAGCATGCGGCAGCCCTGCCTACCGCCTCGGTCCCCGCCGCCCTGCGCACGGCAAGCGGGGCCGCCCCTCGCCCCGCCGCCACCGCCCACCCGCCTCCCCGCCGCTGCAACAGGTCGGCGGGCACCGACTTACGGCAGCGGCTCTCTGGGCGAGCGCGGACGTCCCGGTGCCTCCGCGGGCGGCGCAGCGCCGCGCATGGGCGGGGGGCGCGGCTGCCGGTACCGCGGCGGAGCGGCCGGGCAGGCTGCGCCGCCGGGAGCCGCGCAGCGCCGGGCGGAGGTGGTGCCGCTGGCGGGAGGCGGGCCGCGGAAGGAGGGCGGGAGGTAGGAAAGAGGGACGGGAGGGAGGAAGGAAGGAAGGAAGGAAGGGAGGGAGGGAGGGAGGGAAGAGCGGGACGGTTGCTGCTCCTGCTGCTGGCACCGCCGGCCGCAGCTCTGCCCCGGCGGCGGCGCGGAGAAGGGGTATAAGGGCTGGGGGGGTGTGGGCGGGAGGAGCGTTTATGCAAAGCGGATGAGTGACAGGCGGGGGAGGGACGGGAGGACGAGGGCAGCGCTCTCCCTTGAGCTGCCGTCCCGGCCGGCGGCAGGGGAGGTGCGAAGGTGCCGCCGCGCCGCCCCGCCGGGGGCTGCAGAGCGGCCGCCCCTCCCCTGCCCTGCCCGCCGGCCTCGCAGCCTGCGCTCCCCACGGCCCCGCGGGGCAAGCCGGGCATCCCTCGGGGTGCTGCGGGTGAGCCGAGGGGCCGCGCTCCGCTTTGCAGGCACCGAAACAACCGCACCGGGGGCGTGAGTGGGGAGGGGGCGAGGGCCGCGCAGAGGGGCGCGGGGGCTGCGCTGCCCCTGGCCCGCATGGCCGTGCCCCGCCGAGCCCCGGGGGGCAGCCGAGGAGAGCAGCCGCTGGGCAGCGGGCGGGGGGGGCGAGCACCGCTCCTGGCCGCGGAGCCACCGTGCGCTCGTGGGGCCGGCGCAGAGCTACCGCCGCGTGGCCGCGCACGGGAGTGCTGCAGCGGCCCAGCGCTAAGCCTGGCTTTAATTACTTGCCAGTTAACAGGGTATGAGGAAAACGTGCTTGTGCAAAAGGCCGATTTCAAAAGTCAACATCCTCTAGATGTAACAGCAGCGTTTACATAATGGTATTATGCAGCTTTCTACAAGAAAAATCCAGGGTACCATACCAAACATTGTTCGTATTGCTAATTCACCATTTGCTAATACCATTTAAAGCAATGACGCTGGTCTGAAGAAGCTTCCAGGACGATAGGAACAATTACTTTATGCTCACCAGCAGGAAACTACTAGTACATAAAACAGTTTGGAGAATTTGTTCATTTTTTCATAATATCACTCAGGTTTGTCCGGTTAAAAAAAATCCTTGCAAACAGTTCACTGACATGCTGAGGCTTACTTGTATTCCTGTTGCTGGACTCCCGAGTCTGCAGATAAGCACACGGTTAGTGTACAGCAGGACACATCTCAAACTCCAGAGAGCCTGGGGGCATATGCAAGCCTGGAGAGCATGGCTGAACAGGGAGCAGATGAAAGAGTAATTTGTCTCGTAGATTATTTCTTTTTACAATATGGTGTGATTATGACATGAAGTATGGCAGATTGCAAGGTCTAAAAATGCTGCACATCTGTATGTAATAAAGTATGTTTCAAAGCTGTTAAGGTGTGAGAAGATCTTGGAAATTGTAAATGACCTTACACAAGGGGTAATCACGGACACCAGTGCTGACTCGAGTCGTATCCCTAGAGGATTTGGGATTAGACTGTGAATGTTCGACCATTGTTGCACATTCGATCGTCCATGTTACGAGTCCAGGATTTTCCGTCTGTCATAATATTTCTCATAAAATGCCTTCATGCTGTTTTCTCCCATTTTCCCCCAACAAAACCTGCAGAGATTCAACCCAAATCCTGCCTCCTTAGAGCTAACTCCATTATGGTGAATATTCCGTAGTCTGTTGTCGGTCAGATTATATCATCCTATGCAACTAAAAACACAGGGACGTATCACTTCATACAGTGTCAGGACAAACTTCAAACAGGCAGAATTATCAGCATGAGTGAAAACCAGAAATGGTAGAATAGTGTTACCTAGTATATCACTCGGCAACACCTGAACTGTAAAACTGATTTTAAGCAAGGCTATGAGGAATGGTCAGTGAAAAATGAGGTTTGTAGCGAGGACAACATACACAGCTGCCCACAGCACACAGATTCGGGCAATACTCTGCATGAACAAAATGACGCAATAATCCTGTAAGAGAGTGACCAGATGAAGTACTGATCTTCCTTGTCCTCCATAAAATGAGGAACCTGTTGAAGTTAATCAGGGCGGAATGATTGGATGAAGCTAGACATCATCTGTTGGGGAAACAAACTACACAGCCAGCTAGCCCCTTCTGTGTGCATGTAACTCAGTGCATATGCACTGTGTAAAGTAGTGTTACTGGTGGGAGCAGAGAGAGAGGAAGAAAAAATAACTACCTATTCATCTGCCTGTAATTCCACACCTGGAACACTTACAAACCACAACAGCAGTTCTCCTGAATGTGTTCACAGGAGCTCCTATTTATGCTCAGGTGACAAAGACCATCCACAGTGCCTCTGCTTTTTTCTGCACAGGAGTTAAAACTAGGTAGCTCTGGCCAAATACAGCTTATAACACATTCAGAATAAGAATGATTGCCTGGCTAGCATGGAAAAAACACTCAAGAAATTAACCTGGTCCAAAGCAAATCTTTGACCTGGTTTATGTTGGTCTAAGAACTAAGTCAGGTCACAATTAAACACAGTTCCGGTTAAGCCAGTTTTGTAGATGGGCCAATCTGTATTTTGACACTGCTGAAAACAAAGCTGGCCTAGCCTATCCCAGGACACAGTTTAACATGCCCACTGAACTAGTTTAAACATGTTTCTCCTAGTGTTTGTATGGCAGGATAGATAGGATCTTTGAAGTGTTGCTAAATATCATGATTTTATCACAAATCACAGGATAATTGGCCATTTTCTCGAAGCCCCAGCTTCTAGAGTCATGTGAAATTGATAATCTCTTAGGGTTGCTTTTATTGTTTGTTCCTTTTAATAAGAGGTCTGAAAAAATTATTATGTGAATTGGAAGTGGGGCCTTTAAAAACAGAAAGCATGTAAAACCCCAAATATTTTCAGTTTTCATCTCTGGAATTGTAAGTGCCACACTTGTCAACTCAAGCCAGTCATATCATCATAGAATGGTTTGGGTTGGAAGGGGCCTTAAAGATGATCTAGTTACAACCCCCCAGCCGTGCACAGGGAATCCAGCTTACTGTGCAGGGAAGCACTGCTGTTTTAACTAAATGAGTTTCACCTCACACTTTATTTAAATTGGTTTGGCTTCTGTGTCGAGACAAGTTCTTGGATCTTTGAATGTATAGCAAACTATAATATAGCTTTATTGACACTTAAACATTTTGCAGTATAGCTGTGTAGCTAAAACATCTTCCAGACTACTCTAGCAACACCAGCAAGAGTTATAATACTGGCAGAGCTGTACCAGCAAGATAATCCATTTTTCAGTGCAGGTTATTTCATTCAGGAGATTGAAATACCTTTTTTGTTTTGTTTTGTTAGTATCAGCTGCATCTACAGCAGCAGGGTTTGCCAGTACAGCTATCTTGGCAACCCTTTTAAATGCAAACAAGCAGTATGTGCCCGCAGCACAGGCTGAGATCTCATTTTTAATGCTATTAAACAGCTGTGTCTTGGGCTTTTGCCTTGTTAGACTCTTTTTAACCACATTATTTTGTTCAACTGCTAAATAAACAGCATGGGGTTAAATGTATTAGTGTAATTTATCTTCATTCCTTCCTAATTTACACTTTGAATGAATTAATTAGACTGATCTAATTAACACTGTACAATAGCAGTACCAGTGCCAGAGATCTCCCAGGGGGTTGGGGCCAGGAACACCCCTCAGTGACCCACACCTGCTTTTCTTATCATTTGCCTTTGATGGGCTTTTCCAGCCTGACCTGCAAACAGAGGTTTGGGTTGGTACAGACCAACCTGTTACAATGCTTGTTTAGTGTCAGAGATGTATTTGGAGTGTTTGGTGGGAGGTCCGCATTCAACAGTTC